TTATTTGACATGCACTTTTTCATTCGCATCTGACGTCATTTGCGTCATTTTTGCGTGTACTCCAAGTTGCATCAATTTCAAATAAACCCTCCCAGGATGGCGGTAATTTTAACGCACCTAATTATAAAATATTGCGTCATGTGAAAACATAAAATAAAAAATATTTTGTAAAAATATAAAATATTCGCCCACCGTTATATACGCCACTGCCAACAGAGTTCTGATGGGAGGGGTAGGCAATGAACTGGGGTAGGCGGTTTCGCGAATGTCCGGCTACTGCATTATTTACATTATCTGTGTTCTTTGTCTGCACGCAGAAATATTCACCTGCGAGACTTTTGCACGAGACACGAGACTCTCGCACGAGACTCGAGACGAGACCAATAAAAGTCTCGTCTCGTCTTGTCCGAGACAGTCCGAGTCTCGTCTCAAGTCTCGTCAAGACCATGCGAGACTCTCGTGGGAATCACTAGTAGTTGCCCTCTGGGGCGCCACTGGAATAATTACGGTAAATCTAACTGAGTCGAAAGATACCTTTTGTTTTTACAAACAGACCTGCCAAATTTAAAGAAAATCGGCAAAGGGATTTTTGAGCGAAAAAAAAACATTTTTTTTTTCAAAGTTTGACACCCTGTATCTCGGAAACTAAGCATTTACGGACCCATCTTTCTATTAATTTATTTTTTATTTTAATGAGTTCTATGTATCCTAGAAATTTGATCCCATTATTTATTAACACTATTTTCAATCCTTACCACATAAATGTCCATTACAAAAACCATATAAAAATAACAATCATAAACGTTCACGTTGGCGTATTTTGTCCAGCAATTAGTACATTATTCAAATCAGCTCCCTGCAGGGAAGCGGAATGGAAACCAACGGGATCGCCACTTTTCCAGTGAATACAAGACTATGGTGGAAGGTTACATAGGCGATCACTTTCGGCTAATGGCTAGTTTCAATATGTCACGCGTTTGAACTCGCTTGGCGTACTTTTTACGCCGGAGCGACCAATTAAGGGTAAAAAAACGTTTTTGATGCTACCCCCTAAACGTGATAAAAAATCAGAATAGTTTTGCTTTGTATTTACATATTTAATTCCAAAATTGAATGAGGATAAAATGTACGCCCACCTTTGAAGACGGTTGGCGGCATAGGTGATCCGTTTTTGTCACCAAAAATGGTTAACAGCGGCTTATGATCGGTGCACAATGTGAATTTAGCGCCATATAAATATTGATATAACTTTTTAACACCGAAAATAATAACTAATACTTCTTTTTCAATAATGTGGGAAAAAGAAAGTTCGCTCTTGTTAAGTAGTATTGATGCAAACGCAATAGGCCTCTCAAAGCCGTCCGAATGAGTGTGACTTATGATCGCCCCGAAGCCCACACTACTCAGCATCAACCAATAGTTTGATCGGCAATTTGGGGTCAAAATGAGGTAGCACAGCTGGAGACATTTCTTTAATTTTTAGAAACCTGTGCAGATATTCATGGGTCCATTTCCAGGAAATATTCTTTTTTAATAAGTTCTATAAGGGATATAATATTATAGTAGACGCGTTCGGCAAAAATTTAACATACCAAGAAAAGATTTCAGTTCCGTAATGTTTGAGGGTTTTTCGTTTTTACTACAGCTTCAACCCTCTCGTCTGTTTTATGTAAACTAAATTTATCAATTTTATGTCTCATATATGTCGAAGAATCCTGCAAAAAAAGACATTTCTCTTTTTTACCTTTAAATCCACATTCTGACGATCTTTGAAAAACTGTTTCCAGTCTTTCCAGGTGCTCAAGGTCATTTTTCGCCGTTATTAAAATATCATCAAGGGAAGATATTACACCAGGAATATTAAACAATTGCTCCATAATAATTTGAAAAATGGAGGGCGCACAGTGGATGCCAAAAGGTATCCTTTGATTAGAGAGAATACCCCTTTATGGGTAGAAATGGTTACCAATTCTTTTGAGTTATCTCTCTAGGCAGTGCAAATTGTTGAAATTTCAACTGAAGGTGACCTCAAAATTTTCACATAACCTTAAGCCACCATTTTTTTTACGATCCAATTCTTGCTCTATTCTTGGCTCAAGAGCAAGTGGGAGAGGGCGCGCCTTGGAAAATTGTGGTGTCGCATTTTCTTTGAGTTTTAGGGTGACCTTAAACTTATTGAATGTGCCCAGAGTGCCGCCAAAAATATTTTCGAATTGTTTTAATAAATCTTGCAGCTTGGCCGCAGAATTTGCGTATAATATTCTATTTAAATTATCATCTAACTTACAAAAGCCTACATGTAACATTTTTAAGCCATTTCGACCAATTAAAGGAGGTCCACCGTTTTTAATAACGTACGTTTTCAACACAAAAAATTGAGAATCATATACTCTATTTTTAAATCTACATAACCTAGTGGCTGAAAAGACCCTCCAATATAGGCTCGTAAAGAAGATCGTTATTCCATAGCTTGAGTTTATAAAAGTACGTTTTATAAATTTTTTCTGAAATTGCTGCATGGGCAAAACCTGAATCAACTTCAAAGGAAAAAGGCTTTCCTTCCATTGATAATCAAATGAAAATTGGTTTTTCGTCCCCCACAACCAGGGCCGCCGAGAGCCTGGTCGGGCCCCGGTAAAAAAAAAATAACGGGCCCTTTTTTTTAGGTCTCCCAAATAAAAATTAACGGGTCCCGGGAATTTGTCCCGTCTACCCCCCCTCTTGTCGGGCCTGTCCACAACATTGTGAAATAAATTTTGTTTGGAAAAACTATTTCCATCAGAATGAAATTGAGCTATTAAACTCCAAAGTTGCTTCCAAAAAATTTAGCTTAAAACTTTTTTTTTTGCATAAGGGTGCAAGATGACCTTGCAGGCCACATTTATGACAGTAACAGTAACGTTAAACGCAGTCTACTTACTAATTTGTGGTTGGAGCGCCCACAGACTAAACATTTGCCTGTGGAATCTCCTTTTTTCGCGCCTCGAATTTGTTGCGGGGCCCTCTGTACTGGTTTAAATTTTGACTTACCCCTGCCTTCCCAAGATGTACCTGGTTTTTGACCATAGAACAACTCCTCTGGTTCGGTTTTCACTTCGGATTTAGTAGGCTCGTTGCTCACACGCTTATTGTGATCAACGATTACAGATTCCTTTGCTAAAGCGATCCTTTCCATGGACTGGAAAGTCACGTTGGTTTCTGTCGCATTTTCCTCAAATAACCTATCCGTGTAACGCATATCATTAGCACCCACCGTAAAGGTGTCCCTCATTAGGGAATCCAGAGAAATTGTTGCATCCAAGCCAAAATTACTTGCCAATTTCTTGCCACGTGCGGCCCAATCGTAAACTTTTTCACCAGACATTGAACTTAATTTCCGGTGGTGTTTTGGGTACGCATAAATTACGCAACAAAACGTAACACTTTGGTTAACGTATTTGACAGTATACCTCTTGTTATTACAAATAAATCTGATAACCCTGTATCTCAGAAATTACGCATTCACGGAGACATGTTTATCGGAACTTTTTTTCTTAAAATATTGTAAGGAATCACATCCTGAAGTTACGAACCGTACTTAGGTAACACCCTGCATATTTTGCCATTTTCTGACCACCCTGTACATGCTATTTCAAGTTTTAATGAATTAACATTATTTTTTCAAGAAGCAGAAACTTCTATGAAGAATAATGTTTTTTCGTAAAATTGAAAATAAAAAACTTTCCCATATGCTGCAAACTTAAGTGGACATACTGTACACTTGGCCAAACATAAAACTGGTACAGGCAATATATAATGTTAATTACCCTAGTATGAGCCAGGCTTAACAATATATAGATAATACTCCTCGGTTTTATTCTACTCGGTGACTCCACCGATGAGTAAGCTATCTTTGTTTAGTGAATGGAAAATGACAATGACCGACATAGAATGGCGGATCCATCGGTAATATTTCATGAGAATAAAAACGCAGGGATATTATATTAATATTACCTATTAACAGTATTCTCCTTGAAACCAAAGTACCGTTCAAGAGCACCATCCTAGGGTTTTCAGCCATAATCCCAATAAATAAAATGATCTACTAACAAGCTTAAGGCTTATGTCCCGAAAACCAACATTATTAGGTATCTCAATAAAACATATTTCGGACGCACCAGTTTGGTTCAAGACAAGAAGAACATCTAATCGCTCCGAAAGTGAATCGCAGACTATTTTTTGAGCAACTATTTTCACCAAAACTGATGTTTCAATAAAAGCCTCATGAATTATGGAGCAAGCTTAGTACAAATAGTATTGATCAATTAAATTAGAATTTATTTTTGTGGCTGATTCTATTGTAGCAAGTAAAGACTGATTTGAATGAAATTCCGGAATTTTGATAATCTGCTTGCTGTTATTTATGTTGTTTTCTTTTCACGTTCATCCCACTCGCTTTGATTTTATTCTTATAAATATAGCGACAATAAAGTCATCAGATAAAGAAGAACTCCAGTAAAATTTGTGTGAATATCTATTTTCAATTGTTATTTCAGAATACCAATCACAACAACAACACCAAGCCAGAAGAACGACAGCGATGCTGATTGGCCACAAATTATGTCAACACTTAGTACTTTATTGGAAGACCAAATTTCTTACAAATCTGGTAAGTTTTGAACAATAAAATTGATCTCGTGTTTTAGAAAAAAAAAAAACGTATATTTCAAGTAAGAAATATTCTACACATTGTTACAAATAAACCTAGATTTGTATACTTTAAGGAAAAAATAACCTAGAGGCCCCACGTTGGGCGCCAATTTGTTACAAATAAACCTAGATTTGTATACTTTAAGGAAAAGATAACCTAGGGTCGTGAATTCAAAGAAAAATTAAATAAGATAACGTGTAGTCCCTTTATGTGCAAATGAAACCACTCAAAAATCCAACAAACAACAATTTTATTTAATTTTGTTTACAATGTTCTGTATAATTTCAATGCTAACAACTTGGTTTTTCCTGGCGAATCTGATACCAAGTACCTGCTTTCCAATCCGGAGCTCTTCAAGGGGTGTTGGGGTTTCACTTTCGTGAACTGGAGCTTTTCGTATTGTTTCCTGTATCCAGGAAGAGGATAGATTGCTGGGGTGACGTCACTGCAGCTGATCCAGACTCCAGACAGTGATCTTCATGCAGAGTAGGTACCCAGAAAAGAATAAGGCAGTATCAGGTTCACCAATATTTGGAACATTAAATTCCTGAATTCTGTCAAAAAGTGAGTGTCTTGCAAGAGAAATTGAAGTTGAAATTTGGTATAAAATGATTGTTGTACAGACACTCCCTTTCAACAGAATCGGGTATGAAAAACTATTGCAAGTTAAAAAATTAATATTTTAATATAAAAAAGGAACAATTAAATAATTAAGATTAATTGTAAGATAATAAAAAAAATAATAAAAAGATTAAATTAGAATGCTCATTACAATTGAGCAAAATGCTGCTTCCTTGAAAAACAGCAAAAATACAAGAGAAAATATGAGCAAAAATAAGGTAAGTAAAAAAAATTAAGATATCAAATGTCTGGATTCCTCCCCAAATAGACAAAATTCTCCCCTCGAATTAAGTTAGCTACCACAGATACTAGATAAACCTAGGGATGAAATTAATCAAATCCAGAATGTGTCAAAATTCTTGAGATGTTTTAATAAAAACTTTTAAACTGAATTTTTGACCTGTCTGGATTTCTATTAAAAAATTACACCCTTTAGTTAAGATAATAATTTAAGGAGTCAAGCAGAAAATGGCTGTTCAGGCCTCTGCCTGGATTCAAAAAAGAATTAATGGGGATGGACTCACAAATTTGGTTTTCACCGACTCTACTTAGAGCAAATGGTCCAGTTTTCCCACACTAAAAATTGATTCTGAAAGCCAGAGCAGCAGTACCTATTTAAAACCAAAAATCTTGTCTTGACTTACCAATTATAAGAAAACGTGGCACTAACCAATAAGCAAAGTAATTCACACAAAATGGAAGCCAACAATTAGATAAAAAAAAATTAAAATATAATATTTATATTTCAAAAAACAGATGAGATAAGATTTATCAGTGAAAACTTAATAAAGATACGATAATTTGAACATTGAAAAATGTATAGGGGAGGATCGAGAAATTCAAAGCACAAAATTATAGATAAAAATAAATAGAGGACTTGCCTGCCCAGAGTGTTCTTCAAGAAGAGAACGTTTTAGAGAACCAAGCTAGCAGGAAAACGAACCTGTGTTTTTTATACTTACTGCATTCCAGCCAGTTTGAACCAATCAAACGAGTACACTCCAAAGACCATATTCACTTCAAAATGAAAACACAATGAAAAGACCGCATGGAATAAACGAAAATAGATAAAAATCCACTAAAACTATTTTAATTGTTTACAAATTATAATAATTTAAATTAAGGTTATGTCAAAGATAAAAGACTGTTAATTAATTGGATCATTAAGACAAAAATGAATATTTAAAAATCAAAAGTTAAAAAAGGACAGAAATATATCCATTTGCTAAAAGTGAGATGAATATAATTTCTTTCAAAAAATACAAATTACTGCCAAAATGCGAAATAAGAAATCATACTTTGAAATATAAATCAGATCGATCATCGCGCACTAGATGGCAGTACTAAAAAATCTATTCTTGATACTTGCACTTTACGCAAATGTAGATAGATGGCAGCACTTGTATTACTTGAATTTAAATTTGAATTTAGTGGATATTTTTAGAATATTGGAAATTATTTTGAATTCTGAAATGAAAAAAATACAACTTTATAATGAAAATAAGAAGAGATGGAACATGTTACGTAAATGATAAATTTATCGTAACAACATCAGGGACTTGAATTTTTAAATGAAAACCGCCCCAAAAACATGGTTACATTCCTATACGAGAGTGATTGACGAGTTTGAAAATACATTTTAAAGAATAAAATAATGGAAAACTAACAAATTAAATTAATTCAAAACTATAGAAAATAAGTCTCCTCCAAGAACGCTCCCTTGTTTTTCTTATTTAAAAAAGATTACATGCTTTGGATGAAGATAATGAGTACGTAAAAATATAATTGAACCAAGAATTCTTGGCTTGATGTGAAGTTGAAACTATTGAATATCTAGAAGCAATTGCCATTGAAATGCAGTTTTATTCTATGGAAGACACAAGATACCAGAAAGTCAGTGACTGATGAAAGTATAAAGTGGTCCAAGAAATCTGAGAATTGATTTGCTTTTAGTAAACGGAAGCTGGAAAATTCAATATCCCCTATTATTAATAATATACTAATCTTAAATATATTATTGTTTTTATTAATAATCTAGGCGAAATGGTGGTAAGTTTTAATCCTAGTCGTGTCTCATTGGTCAACCCGAACCACTTTGTTTTCCCCTCTCAAAGTAGACGTAGCACTAACCAAAAAAAAAAAAAATTAAAAATAAGTCTCTACGCAATTTTTCTCATCACTGGCCCAATTGTAGAGACTTATTTTTATTTCATGAAAACTAAATCAAGTATTTTTTTCTTAAAGGCCTTCCACGGGTACCTGAGGGGCCTTCGCGATGACAAAGTAGTTCGGATTGGCTTCACGATGGGGTTAACATCAACGTAAGTATGATAGAATGTAATTAGATTTATTAAAAAATTAACACTTCATATTCTGTCTGGATTTTATTGAAAGATCCTCGTTTGCAGATTCATGATTTTCGGATGTAGAGAAAAAATTGTGGCAATTTAAATTTACTTTTGAAAAAAGAATTAATCTTACTCCACTATAACTACGACCTTCTATTAAAGTTTAGTTAATTACTTGCTTATGTGATATTTATACGGGCCTTACTCAAAAACCGTAAATGAAACTGTCTCCAGCTCTCTGTGAACTGAAAATCTAATAAATCTAGTTTTAATGATGTTTTAATTTACATCGTACATGCCATTAAAGTTTATGAAATGTATTTCAGAAACTTTCAAATATATTTAGGCATTCTTTATTCTACTTTACAGAACGTCAGAAAGCATTCTCAACGAACTTATATGTTGTGTGGCTACAATTTTGTTTCTACTCAGTTCCATAACTATTCGATTCAATTTACAACTGTTCACTATATTTAAACCATCGTCTTTTATCTGAAAGGTTGTGTACATAAACTAAGTTTTGGAAATTTATGCAGGTTTAAAATTACACTAGCAAAGTTGCTGTAATTTACAGCTGCTTTGAAGCTGGAAATTTCTGACTTGGCGTGACACTTGATTCACATACGCGGTTTCCTTAGCAGCATGCACTTTGGAAATAGTTTTAAAACTTAGTCAGTTTTCAATTCAAGTAGGTATAGGCAATCGCTTGGAGGTTTCATCATTAATAAACTTAAACTAATAAACCATTAAACTTTGTCTATGAGAAAGAGCCTTTATAACAAGAAGATGATGTCGAATATCAAACTAATTTTAGTTTAATCGTCTATTAAATGGAACTACTATTGAACCAAATAGTTTTAGGCACACTAGGAGTTCAGTTCTAATTATTGTAGATTTTAAAATCCTGAGCCAAATAGTCCAATGATTCTAGCAAATTTCATTTCAAATTGTCATAGATTACCTACATTTAAGATTTATTTCAAAAAATAAACGAAACTTCACTAGTGACACCAGTATAAATTGAGATACATAACAATGTCCCAGTAAAACTCAAAATATTTCTGAAAATGCACAACAAATAAATCTAAGAAAATCCCTCAAAGAAATATGGCCCTTAAAATTGCTTCCCTCTCATGTAGTTTATATTTCCGCTCGCGTTCTACAAGTGTAATCTGAATGTTTCATGCGTTTTTGGCTTATTTAATAAAATACCGCAACATTTCGTATTTGTGTATAAGAGGAGGGAAATGTTATGTCACGAGAAATAAATTGATGTACCAACGTGATAAAATATTTTGTCTAAACATTAAACTGGATAAGAATTGGGCTCAGATTTATGTAAATATATTCGCATTGATTTATGTTTTATGTATTTCCAGAATGTGGCGTTCCTCAACTGTTTACCAAACCCCAAACCAGGATCGTAGGAGGCAAAATGGCCCCTTTTGGACGCTGGCCATGGCAGGTAAATACATTTGTTATTTGAACTTTCTTTTTAAAAAGCTTTTGGAACATGATGCAGTGCAGCTATATTTGAATTTATTGCAATGTTTTATTTATAGACATTTTTCACAATTTTTGTTATTATAGTCGTTGCAAACAAATAGAAACGTGGATTGCAGTAGTGTCACACAAATAAACAGTCTAAGTATTATTCAATAAATTGCACAGCTTCATATACCTATCCATTATTTAAACTTATTTAGTAAAAAGGAAAAATTGATCCATCTTTCAAAGTTTCGTCAAGTAAAACAATTTCCGAACACGCAAACTAATTTATGGTTCCACTTTGACAAACTTCGAATGAAGAATTTAATATTTTATCAGCCATTATTCTCCAGTTAAATCCCTTAAAAGGTTTGTAATAGATCTACAAGCTTTTCTGTTATCAAGAACGGAGGTGTTTATTATTTTACTTTCATCAGGAAGTTTTGAAAATTTGGCAATCAATAAATATTGATTTTTGGCTATTAAAAATTATTGTCTAGAAGGGACTCGAAATACGGCATATTTCAGAAACAGGATGCTGGAGAATAATACTTGTAAGTGTATTTCTGCTTAAAGACCTCTTGTTATTTATACGGTTTAGTTGCTATTATTAACCAATGTGTGTCAGGTTCCATAGTTGTTCTTTAAGACTTATAGTACATTATCCTCCATGATTAAATGACAGATCTTAATTTGATCTATTCGCAAAGCAATTTGTGAAAAATATTCCCGAAAAGAATCTACTAACCGAAAACTTATCAGTCAAAGGTGTCGCAGTTTTGAAAGTAGATTGTAGAATATTGTGTAAAACTAGTTTCGGACTAAATCGCCTTAATCGGCTGTCAAACCACGGAACCCAAACCATAAATATCCGATACTTTCGCGTAGACTCAGCTGTCTATTCAGGCACCATTGAATTCCCATTTTATCGTAAGGATAACCAAAATGTTTGAACCCAGGACTGATGCTTTGCTTCTCCAATTGGCTGATGAAAGGCGCGGAATAGGACTAGTAATTAAATATTTCTCCAAATTCCCAAACGTATAATTATATCTCAAACACCCCTTGAATATTGAAAAATCCAGGAGGAATTGGAAAAGAAAAAAAATCATGAACAGAAACGATTTGATTTGAGCTAAAAGTGTGATTTCAAAATATCAGAATTCACGAAACATACAAAGACAGGCGAATACGGGGTTATTGATAAAATATACTATAGAAAAGGGGAAAAACGTGGAAATAGAAGCGTCAATGAAACACGATGTGACTTCGTGAACTGTAATAATGACAATGATTTCATCTAAGACTATTTAATAATAGACGCATTATGCTTGTGATAGCAACTACATATTAAATGAAGGTAACTCATGTTACACACCTGTGGAATATGAATCTCATATTCCACACCCGTGGAATACAAATTTTTATACGTATTCCACAACATGAAAAAAATCAAATGGAAGGGACCAATAAAATTTTACAACAAATCAATCCAAATTTTAGCAGTATTTCGAATGTCGATTCATGTCCATCTACCGTCAGGAAGTTTATTAATAATTTCTTATTTTTTCTATATTCGTCTCCCAATAATTATTATAAAATTGACAAAATCGTGGGTGGGGGAGTGGCAAATAACACAAATTTATTCTTTGCGACGTTTCGTAACTATATATTGTTACTTTTTCAAGCACTAAAATAAATGGAAACAAAGAACATGTCATACATAAATAAATTAACCATTACAACATCATACCTGAATAATTAGTGTTTCTGTGCACACATTAATAAACCATTTCCATGGGTAATCCAGGAAGTTTTAAACATTTTCACACACGCAAGCTAGAACTTGGGAAACCCGTTGAGCCCCACACTTGCAAACATAGTAATGAATGATCTAACAACAACCATTTTAAACAAACTTCCATTCAAATTACCTTTCTTTTATTTATATGTTGATGATTCACTCACAGCCATTCCTGAAAATGGCTGTAATGTTATTCTTGAATATTTTAACACCTACCACCCAAAAATTCAATTTACCCTCGAAGCCGAAACTAACAACAGAATCTCTTTTCTTGATACCGAAGTCATCAGAAATGATGACGGAACAATCTTCACTAAATGGTACAGCAAACCAACTAGTTCAGGAAGAATCCTAAATTATTTCTCCAACAATCCAACCTCACACAAAATAAGTACCATCACTGGCCTACTACACAGGGCCTACAAACTCAGTCATCCATCATTCAATGATGAGAATTTAAGGAAAATCAGAACAATTTTAAAACTCAACAACTACCCTTCCTCATTTGTTAACCAATGTATACATTGTTTCCACAACAAACTGAACGACGCTAATGCCACACCCAAACCTGATGTCAAATACTACAAATTTCCTTTCATCAAAGGTCTGTCCCAAAAAATTAATAATTGCATAGACAGAACCAATACTAAACTAGCTTTCTATAATACCAAAACAACAGCTCATTTATATACAAAACTAAAGGACCCTACACCCCTAGAGAAACATTCCAATGTCATTTACAAAATTCCATGTTCCTGTGGTCAGTTTTACGTCGGCCAAACCAAGCAATATTTGGCTTCTAGACTAAATCAGCATAAAAATGATTGTAAAAACCACAATCAAGCAAAAACAGAAAAAACTGCATTAGCGTCACACCGTTTTGAAACTGGCCATCACTTTGAATTTCAAAACACTGAAATTGTGGATAAGGAGAGCAACTGGTTCAAACGAAATATAGGCGAAATGATTCATATTAACTTGAATAACACTATTAATTTAAGGTCGGACACACAAGGACTAAGTGTAATTTATACAAATATTTTGAAAAAATACTCTGAATACAATAATAATGAATAATTACGCTAGTTACACAACTACGATTATAATTGAATTTTGTCTTTTTTGTTAACGTAAATGTCCAATGGTTGTTCTTGTGTGTGTGTGTCTTTTTTTTTTTTTTTAACCAGCAATAAATACTAAACAATGGTGGTTGGTGGGCCTGTGCACACTTAATAAGCAATAGTGCCTTTTAGTATAAGCAACATTACCAGGAATTTATCAGCGGTTTATAGGACTCTTAAAAATTAAAAGAAGTTATTGTTGCTGCACAAAAAATGTTTTATGCTCATATGGTAGGTACCTAGCAGGTACCACCGGAACCAAGGCCAGATTAGTGGTTCCGTGATAATCGTGATAGCAATACGTACCAAAAAAAAAAAACAAAAGTTCTAGCTTGCGTGTGTGAAAATGTTTAAAACTTCCTGGATTACCCATGGAAATGGTTTATTAATGTGTGCACAGAAACACTAATTATTCAGGTATGATGTTGTAATGGTTAATTTATTTATGTATGACATGTTCTTTGTTTCCATTTATTTTAGTGCTTGAAAAAGTAACAATATATAGTTACGAAACGTCGCAAAGAATAAATTTGTGTTATTTGCCACTCCCCAACCCACGATTTTGTCAATTTTATTAATAATTTTTCGATTACCAATGAGAGCACCGATATTAATATTGAAACTACAAGTAGACCTGCAACCATGAATTTTAGTTACCCTACGTACTTACGTTAATATCAAACTATTCATTGTGAAAATTCCTAATTTTAAATAATTTTTCGCATACCTATCTTTATTTATTTTTACAAATCTGCAAATTATTACCTATATTTTCTTGATAAAATGAATAGTCGTAGATAAGGCATAGCATTTGACTCGCGTATAATGGCTACATTATACGCTCGTTAAAAAATATACTATTATGATCTATCAACAATATTACCTCCCTAGTCAGCATCAACAAATCCCTCCAAATTTAAATTATCTTTTTTTAAATTTTAAACACATACTTCGTTTAGATGTATGTATGATTCCAATGAGATTCATCAAAGTAGTTGGTAAACTGACTCAGGTACCTTACGCTATACCTATATTATATCTGGCCTAGTCATGACAGCAAGAAACATAGGACTACCCATCAACTTCTCATATGGCAAATTACATGTTTCTTGACTCTCATCTAAATTTAAATTATTTCAATTATTATTATTATGTAGTTACAGTTTTACAATTCATCATATTAGATTTATTCAAAATCTGATTAATATAATTTTCTTCATCTAAAGTCAAAAAACCTTCAGTTTTATTTATATTAACATTAATGCCCAAGTTGCTCGACTTGACCTAAGTCTTTTAATTCGAACATAGAACCTAACTTACCTTTTAAATTAACAATTTCTTGTTCATTGTTTGGAAAAATCAAAAAATCATCTACATAGTGTGCTACATAAGTCAAAGAATCCTCTAAGCATTTCATAAACACACAAGGTTCAATTTTTGATGGCTTATAGCCTGTTTCTGAAAGAAAATCCGTAATATAGGCTTGTCCAAAAAACATCCAAAAAAAGCAGTGCAAAGGTCTAAGTGTACAATATTTAAATCAAGTTCCCCAGAAAGAGCAAACAATAATCTCAATGTACTATATCTTACCACAGGTGAGAATGTTTCATCAAAATCAATATATTTTTTCTGGGTAAGTCCTCCACTAACCTAGCATGATAACACAATTTGCCTTCACTATTAAATTTTCTTCTGAATACCCACTTGTTACCCACTACAGTACCTTCTTGCGGTAGATCCAACAAGTCCCAGGCATCATTTTCAGTGAAAGACTGGAGTTCACTAACCATGGCCTCCTTCCATGCTTGACTTGGTCTTGAGACAGCTTCTTGTACAGTAAGAGGCTCACTACCCAGTTCTGTAGCATGTACTCGATTACCTAATTTGGCGCAGGCGTAGACAACGTAATCATCAAAATTATCATTTTTTAGTTTTGTTTAGTCTTGTTGATTTTCTAATTGGTTCTGAGAAAACATTTTGCTCAGAATCTGAATTATTTTCATCAAAAATTTTCTCGTCAGGATGATAAGATGGTTGCTGTTCAATCGGAAC